AAGCTCCACCCGTCACTAGCTCCACCACACGAACAGACCTCTTTGGTATCTTTTCGGATGTGGAAGATCAGACAAAACTGCAACAACAGAGCATACTCAGAATACCAACTAGGCTAACCTCGCTCTTGATACCACTTGTTAGGAATTTCGAACACACCAAAATTCTGCCCAAGATCTACTGAAAATAAAAAACTGGAGAACACAAAATTTAACGTGGAAAACCCTCTGTTAACGAACAGGGAAAAACCACCAGGGCAACAAGACCGTAGAAAATCCACTATGTAAAAAAAATTACACAATTTTTCTATCACTCACTTACCCAAAATTACCCAAAATTACCTCACAGAATTTTCCACCCGTTAACCCTCTCTCACCCTAAGGAATTTTTAACCAGAGATTAATTGTTAACACAATAACTCTGTGGGATGATTTTACATAAGAACTAGCACTTTCTTATATAGAGAAAAATCCCCCCTGCTCTTCATCCCACTTCCGATGTGGGACAAAGAGCAAAACACAACAACGTATTCTTATTTCGGCGTACTAACCAAAAAATGTTGATTTTAAATATATTATCTCCCTCATACATATAAGAAAAAGTATGAGGGATTGAGAGCTTGACATGTGGCAATTTTTTTCTGCCCAAAATACCCTTTTTGTCCTTCTTTTACATCTATTGCCACTGCATTTTGAGACTGCTTTTCTGTGCACATATTAAGTGATTGTGTTGACATGGCTCATATATTGACAAAGGAAAGAGGCAGGCTGATGCCTGCTCGCTCCGTTCCTCTCGATCGCGCAAGTATTGACGGGGGTGCGGGGGCAGAGCCACCGCGGTACGGTACGGGGTATTTAAGTAAATTTATACCTTGTATGGTTTTAGTAAAAATACATGGTGTATTGATGTATTTGGTATTATTGAGAATAATAAAGATCCCTCAGCCGCCGTGGACGTAGGCACATTGCCGAACCACGTAAATCTTGTGTTCTTTACTTTATCATTTTTAATTTGTATGTCATATTGTCCAAATTCCCGGATTCGTTACAGTCCCTCCTGTAATACTCCAACCTCCCCACGAATTCGTTATTCCTAAACGTTGTCGAAGATAAGTTACTCGAGCGGATCTGACCATATCAGATCGAGGGGTCGATTTAGGACCTCTTGGTTTGAGAACGTTTAGCAAAAGGGGTCGGGAATGCTCCAGCAGTAGTTCCAGTTCCGAAGGGAAAGTCCCGCTTGTCAACCATGCCCCGTATTCAGCATTCGCCGGTGTCACAAAAAGCAAAATACTCCCTTACAGATCCAACCTGATGTCACTTTCTTAATTCATCAACTGGGGGAGACTTTCTATATATATGGGCCCGCACCGCATTCACAGGTCAATTTCCCTCTACGGGTCGGGGTGTCTATTATTTGCATGATTAAATCGTGGTTACCTGTATGCTCGAGTGAGTACCGGCTTTCCAGTAGCTCCGGTGCTATCCCATTGGCAGCCGGTAGCCGAATCCGAGTCTTCATTTTCACTTCTTTATGATGAGAGAGCTGACCCCGAATAGAATATATATTAAGGGTCTTTCTCCTCCGAATCCGGACAAGTAAGAAAATCCCAGATACCTTTCCCTTTTAGGGAATCCGCTGAACTAACTATGGCGCTTTCAATCTCTGCTTTCTTTGTTTGGAGTCCCGAATCCTCACTCAAACTCTATATCACTTCGAGTGAAAGAGCCAGCAGCCCTAACGCACTCAAGTCAACAAAGCGTAAACCAACGACTCATTAATTAGGCAAAGAAATTCGAAGCTCCTTGCTAGCTACGGTGAAAGCTATCGAGTATACTTTTCTTTTCCCGCGAATTTCATAGTCTAAATATTTGTACAATATTGAGCCCTAAAACCAACCAAGGAACTCATTCATATATGAAAGCGGGTGTGGAATAACAAATCCTCTAGTCCTAACATATGGAACAATGGAAGGAACTCTTCTTTGACTGCCAAGCGTATCGAACAAGTGTATTCAAGCTTTCAGGCCCCTTCTCCTAGCGTATCTTACAAAAGAACGATTCTTCCCATCTCCTGATCTATCATCGATATACACGCGTATTCAATACCGAAATCCAATAGCTGGTCTAGTCCTGTCTTAGCGAAAAGGATTTCTCATGGTATTCAGTAGGGTTGGTTATGAACAAGCAAGGGATTGAGCAAGACGCGCGAAAGCCGGGCATCAGCTTTAGCAGTCGAATAGCTCTCCAATTGGTTTATATAAACCCTTCTTGGATCAAACCACAACGAAAAATGCCATTGCCAA